AAAGTCGGTTTCTAGAGAAATTTCTAGTGTTAACCGCAGTTAAAGTGCGTACTATTTTAAAGCTGAGACAAATTGAAGTCTGTTTGGTTTAATGCCGTTTACTTTATATCTGTAAGAAAAGTGGTGGAGGTAGATATTCTTTAAGCATCAATTAATCTGAAAGATGCGTAGCGTTTGGTTAGATAGAAACCATACTTGTTTTCATAGCAATCTTGATAATTAGAAACGAATTATTTATGCCAAAAGAGATGTATTCATTTTTTAAATGGTCTTTTACACTTTACTACTTAAACACGTTAATAGTCGCCAACAATTGATTAGTGACCAAGTTAGTGATTAAAACTAATTTTTAGTGAAAAAATAAATGGTGATACTAAGTATTTGATAACGGCCAAGCAAAAGTACTAATGGCAGCTACGGGGTAAATTGTTCCCAAAATCCAACTTTTCATTTATTATTTATTCGCCTGGTTGTTAGGCGCTTATTTTCCTATCTAATGACAAAAAGTCATATCGTCGCATTTATTATTTTTCCAGAAAAATATTTTTTTGACGATTGCGTCAGAAAACACCACCCGGCGGCAAAGAATCGCGTCACTCATGCTTCGATTGATAGTTTAGGAAAAGCCCTTTTTAACCACTCCAAATTTATGAAGATGCGTTTTTTGGCGATACGGACATTTATTTAAAAGAATAATCGAACAGCCCTCACTACTTTCCTCGCAGAGATGGGGCAAACGACTAGTACACACTTTAATCATGAGCAATATTAGAAATGTTTGTTTTAAATTAAAAATGTAGAATAACAGTTACGCCTCTGGTGGCGATTTCAGAAACTCGAAAACAATTTCCAGCATTTTCGCTTGGCAGATGCACTATAATTATTAAGAATTGTTGTGTGTGAAGTTTTGACGTTATTTGACAGCGTATCAATTAATATTAATCAATAACATTAACAATAACTTCCAATCGTCTGCGGATTTGGCCGTTTTTTTTTTTTAGTAATAATTCGCCGGATTTGTTGCTTATTTTTCTCGTTCGAACCCAATCAGCGTTTCCATGTTGTTGTAACTGTTGGTCAGTGCTGCCGCCAAAACATCCGGAATTTCGGCGGACTGCTGAAAACGGTCATATTTGGACTGTGGGTGCATGGTGTGTTGCCGCCGACCGACCGCCCCTTGCTAATGAACCGCTGCCCTCGCGTCCCGTCATCTCCCCCCTGGTCTGCCACCACCTCGACCCCGGTTCCACCCACCATCAGATCAATAGAATATGTAAGAATGCGAGACAACGGTGGAAGCGGGGATGGAAGATTCCGCCGGATGGTGATTCGGTGTATATCCGTCGCTCTTGTTTTTCCATTAGCGAATGGAAAATAAATTAACGCTGTTAGTGCAAAGGGTAGACATACACTGTTTGATGTTTGGATTTCTATACTTACCTTTTGATTTGATTTTCGCATTGATAATTTGATGGATCTTATTATATATAGCCTAGGTCTACAAAAAATAACTGTGTATAACAGGACTCGTCATGTTTTTAATAAAATTCATAAAGATCTGCATCTGCAAACTTAACACCTATTCATTTAAACTGCGCCTCGGCAAAATTGTGAATGCAGAATCGGTTGTTCAAAGAGGTTTCCGACGAATATTTTGGTTACGTCCGTGTTTTGAAAAAACACTCGGTCAAAACATTAGTCAGAATCGAGAAAACATGTTGGTTTAGGTTTAGGGGAGATAATGGAAAACTGATCTCATTCTTAGCGGAAAATAAGATCGCTTTCAAAAAAATATTACATTTTAAGCGAAATTAATTTTAATATTTTTAAATTTTACAATTTAAATTTTAATTTTAAAGCAACGTACCAATCATTCCTGATAGTTTTTTAATTAAATCTTTAAATAGCACCAATGGCTGAACTTTGTGATACTTAGTGTACAAAAACACAATAAATGCGGGCGCCCCATTTAAAATAACGAAGTAACTGTTTAATCTCTAGTTTTTTCAAGTTACTACGACTTCACTACGATACGGAACCATTTTGTTTAACCTTTTCAAAACGCAAAAATGTGTGAGATAAATTGTTATGATCACCCTACTAACTTCAGTTTTCACATGTGACCAATTCAACAAGGTAAGCTGGACTCAGTGACGTTAGCAAAAATTTAACGTTGATTGGCGAGAATATTACCGGCACCTCTAAAACACGTCCTATCACAGAAAAAGGGGCAAGATAACTGGGTACTGTTAGATACGTATTTATTAACGTTTTGTTAATCTCTTATTGGGTTTCTCCTGGATATTGTTAAAATTCATACAAATTTGCATTCAGGATTAACATTAGCTTACCTCACAGTAAGGTTGTGGACCAGTCTATTGACTGGTCAATTGACCGAAATAATTTTAGAAATACCATGAAATTTATATTTATTTATTTATTTATTTTTGGGGATTCCCCGAATAAGTATCGAATTCGGATATTCCTTGAAGAGGGTTATAGGTAAATATCACAAACGCATAATAATTTATTTTTTCTACTCCCGCCTGTAAAATACCTAATTACACACCGATCTAGCGTGCGGGAAGCATCACTTTGCCACGTCAGTTTAGTTTCCCACGAATCCGAGCCACTTCGTACATTTCCGGGATTTTACCGCACGGATTTGGGAGCAATCGGATGTTTTCGGAGATATTTCCCACGCTTTGAATTTTAACGTTTGTCAATTCTGATGATCATGTCTGTGAATATATTTGTGTTGTTTTGCGAAAATGTACCCAAAAACGGACGGTCGTAGAAAAAGTATAGTATGCAACACGTTCGGTAAACTTTTTTTTCTACTCCCGTCTGTAAAATACCTAATTACCCACCGATCTAGCGTGCGGGAAGCGTCACTTTACCACGTCAATTTCGTTTCCCATGAATTCGAGCCACTTCGGACATTTCCGGGATTTTACCGCACGTATTTGGGAGCAATCGGATGCTTTCGGAGATATTTCCCACGCTTTGAATTTTGACGTTTGTCAATTCTGACGGTCATGTCAGTGAATGTATTCGTGTTTTGCGAAAATGTACCCAAAAACTAAAGAAGAAAAAGTATAGTATGCAACACGTTCGGTAAACTTTTTAACTCACTCGTTTATTAAAAACTCGCTCCGCTCGTGTCAAATAAACTCGTGAGTCAAATGCCGTTTACGGCACTTGTTGCAAAATATACTATTAAAATAGATTGATAACACTCTACAATTGACCGGTCAATTGAGAAGTGGTCATCAATTGACCATGGTCAATCGACCAGTCGGAACACTACGTCACAGTCACTACCCTGGTGTGACACTTTAAAGCAAATCTTTAAAAAGGATAAAGTTGCAGTGTGAATCTAGTTGTCAGTTACTGTAACTCCCGCACCCCATCCAAACTAATTTTAAAATTGAGTACAATTTTTTCAGTCTCCTTATAGCTTTGTTCCAACACAAATTTCTTGTCGATTAATGTATTTTTTAGTTTGATGTGTCAAGAAATGATTGGGCAACTGAAAATTACCGGCTTTGACATGATTTCCTGTCATGTTGGAACAATCTTTATATTTTATCTGCGAATAACTTCTCTTAACTCCCTATAATTTTAGTATGGTTTTATTAAAATTTTCTTGGATGCGAATACAAAAGTACGTGACACCGCCGACAAGCTAATTAATTATAGTAGCTATTAATTAATTTTAAAGTTATTTTCGTGATAAATTCAAAATTTAATTTAGGCATCTGAATTATTTAATACGAGGTATTGATCGACGGTTTGCAGGATTCATTTCGCGTTGCTGTGGCACGTTCTGTCGTACTGTTTGTTATTTATAAATATGTAGTTATATTTGTAAATCTTATTGTATTTTTTCCATCTTGCACTTGTTTTTGTTCTAAAAAATTACATCCGAGGTCATTCCTGAATTAAGATTTGAGTATTACCCACTTTTTTTCGAAGTTTCAATTGCGGGTTATCAGAGACCGTAAAAATTGATACACCTATACTGTCTGTTATTCTAACAAATTTTGGTGCAATATTCGGCATTGCTGTTACGTTTTTAAATCAACCAACATCATTCGGATTCGTCACGCACGACGGTGAAATTAAATAAATCACTCCCCGTAAAACTTAACTGAACTGAAAATATTATCCGTAGAAAAAAACAATTAAAGTGCGTGCGCACACTACTAATTATATATATATAACGTCTATTATTTATATCGGTCGATTATTTATGTTCTCGCGCCAAGATCTTCCGAAAAATATCACGTTCTACTTTTTCCTTTTTCTTACTTCTGCTCTCTGTTGAACCGTCGTTTCGAAATGGGTGTCGAACTTTCTAGTCGACTCTCGAAGGGTGTCCGTTCGAACATTCTAATTTTTTTCGTCTTGGACAGGGCCGGACCCAGACCGTTCTGGACGCTGCTAATATGTAAACTATTAATATAAATAAATAAAACCGCCTTTATTTTAAGCTCGGCGAAGGAAATACAAGGGGCATCCAGTGTTAAAGAAAACAAGCCAAATGTAATTCTCGGCTCGATATATTTAACCATTTTAAATCGTGAGGTTTATGACTTACGCGATCTTTTCGTTTAAGGTTGTAAATAAATCGAATACAGGAATCCTGTATTTTCTGTAATTTATATTTTGTCAAAACATTCTAGCAGCGTCTATAGACAAAATTACAGTGTGACAAAAAATACATTTCTTCTGAAAATAATAAATATTCCATTTAAAAAGTACTGCAATAAACATTAAAACATTAAAAAAATACAGCTTACATAAGTAATTGGTAATTTCGTATATGGGCTAAGTTTTTTCCATTTTAAATTCATTTGAATCCAATTTATTTGATTTATTTAATTTAATTTAGATTATTTGGGAGAAGGATTTGTTACCCATCATGTAGTTTTAATGTAGTGGCAACGTTATTGCTTATTCGTTTCCCAGAATTATCCAGGATTTGTCTCTTTCAGGTGCCTTAGATGAATCCAATGGAAGCCCGGTTTCTGATTCTTCCCGTTGTAGCGACCAGTTGAGTCCAAAGCAGCGGCATCAAATGAAGCATAGAGAACTATTTTTGTCACGGCAGGTACTTAAATTACATTATTATTAACAAATCATTTGGATTTGTGCTGTGCGTCGTTTGTAGACCTATGAAAGTTTCTGACTGCAATTAGTTGCTGGCGGCACGCAGAACGCCTCCAAAAGAATAACTTATTTGACCTCATAGTTAGGGGGTTTAAAATTTACATTTATGCTTGCACCAGAAATATAGTGCTTTTACAACTGACCCCTTCATTAATCTTGTCCACTGTTTATTACTTCAAAACCGCACCCTGCCGAGCAGACCCTTACCCGTAACCATTCCAGGGCCGCCCTAGGAATTTATCTACTTACACTAATAAGCGGGATATAAGTATGTTTTCAATCTTTTTCGCCGAGCAATTCTTGAAACATGTACATAAAAAAATTAGTACAAAGTAACAATTTATTATGTTCTATTTCAATACATTTCTACATAGTATCATTATTATTAATATACAAAATATTAAATGTAATAATAATAAAGTGTCAGTCACTTAAAAAATCATCACCATCGCTACTGTCGTCACGTAGTTCAATGATCAACTCCGCCACTAATCGTTCGATAAATATTTTCTTCTTTTATTATTGGTTTTTCACAGTTAGACCAGCTTTGTAATGATATTTTAGCTACCTATTGCCCAATTACGCTCACTAAATTTCGGTGCAGTGTTATTTCTTCTTATATGCGCTTTCAACTCAAACCAGATCATCTCAATCGGGTTAAATATACTATGATACGCGGTTGGTAATCTCAAGATTTCATGTCCCCTTTGTTGTGCTATAGAATCGATTTTGTAGTCTTTATTAAAATGTTTTTTTTTTTAAGAATTCCAGAAGTTGTTTTTTTTGTATAGCTCTCTTCAAAATATAAATCATTTCCGTACAGAAATTCGTTAATTTCTTCTTTATTTGAAGAAGTATTTGGAATTTTTCTAATTTGGGCTCAACGATACGAGGCATTATCCAACACAAAACAGTATTTGGCGATAGTTTTGGCAACCCTTTATTTTCAAACCAGTTCTCAAATATTTCCGCAGTCATGTTTTCATGACATTTTCACCTGAATCTTTGACGTTTTCGGTAGACAAAATTAAGGTACCCTTTTTTCCCTTTGAATTATCCAGTGAAAACGGGGCCAAAGCTCGAGAATCAGGCACATAAATACGTACCTATTGCAAGGATCATAGTCAAACACCTCCGTAATATATATTACAATTTAGATTAAACGTTAAAAACGATACATACCACCTACTTATTCGGAAATATCCCGCAACATCATTGCTTAATCAAATTTAAAACGGTCCATTTACGTTTCAAATAAAAATTTTAAGTTTAGAATAAACGTCTGTTGGGATCGGTTTTACCACGGTCCTGCAAAGGTCTGCGGTTAAGGTACTGTAAAATACTTAAAACGTCAAAGCACTATATTTTTGGTTGTATTATACCTGACTATAAAATGATTATTATTTATGTTAAATTAGCAGGTATTTGAATATGCATAAAAAGGTGGACTTTTATTGAGTTACTTTCCCAATAAGTAGTAGTAGAATCCATCCTGAAATGGACTATTATTATTGTGAAATGCTGACTGGTTATATTTAAATGATATTTTTTTGAAAAATATTATGTTATATTACTGGGAGAAAATCATTTGTCTAATTTTGGTCTGAAGCACTACTAAATAATCTGAGATCGTTGCTAGACGTCTGTCAAATGGTTTATGGGCAAACTTGTTAGTCAATAATAGAGCCAGTGATCAACAATGCGAAAATTGAAATCTTTTTATATTGTATTTTCAAAATTTTCTGTACATGTGCTTTGTTGTGGAAGAGCCACCCACCACTCAGTAATGTAAAGAGCTACATTTAGTTCGCGAGCCACGCTTTGCCGACCTTGAGTGGCTCAGAAGAAATTTGTCTGGAAAATTGCGAGTAATTGTCTTTTGTTCGCTTAGGTTGAGACCCTTCCAGCCACCCACATACGCGGTAAATGTTCCGTCACGTTGTTCAACGAAACCGAGGCCCTTTCGTCGTACCTTAACAAAGACGACATGTTCTTCTACTGCCTGGTGTTCGATCCGACTCAAAAGACTCTACTCGCGGATAAGGGCGAAATTCGTGTAGGTAGTCGTTACCAGTGCGACGTGCCACCAATGTTACGCGAGGGTGAAAGTGATGGGCGCGAACTCTCGGAACTCGAAACCTTAGTATGGACGCCAACCCACAATCTTAGTGACCGACAAATAGATCAGTTTTTAGTGGTTTCTCGCTCTGTGGGCACTTTTGCCAGGGCGCTGGATTGTAGTTCGAGTGTTAAACAGCCGTCGCTGCACATGTCGGCCGCAGCGGCCAGCCGAGACATAACTTTGTTTCACGCGATGGACACGCTCCACCGCCATAACTACGATTTAGCTAGTGTGTTGTGTTCTTTGGTACCGTCGAGCGGGCCCGTGTTGTGTAGAGACGAAATGGAAGAGTGGAGCGCGTCGGAAGCCAACTTGTTCGAGGAAGCTCTGGATAAATACGGAAAAGACTTCAAAGATATCCGTCGGGATTTTTTGCCGTGGAAAACGTTGAAGAATATAATCGAGTATTATTATATGTGGAAGACGACGGACAGGTAAGAACATCGACTTAAGATTTTATTCATTTTATTAAGAACTGTACACCCTTGTAAGATCTTTGTTTATTGGTTCGATTTTGATAATTTTTTTTTGTTAGATAGGTCTCTGAAAAATGCAGAAAATCCTTATGTTTCTTGTTCCATCAACCTGAAGTCATGGTCAACTGAGACTTTTTAACAAAAGAAGAAGTACTATTGGGGATTTTTTTTAAAAATAAATTGGCAACGATTCCTATTCAGGGGTACTTAGAATCCAACCATTTTTATAATGTTTCAATACAGGGTGTTTGAAATATCGTTTGCGCCCCGCACATCGTTGTAAAATCTTTGATTAGGTTTGATTTTGACAGTTTTTTTTATTGGATACATTGATCTCTCAAAAACGCACTATAATCTTATTTTATTACATTAACTAGGAAGTCATGGGCACCTGGGACTAAATTTTTGGTATCAAATGTCTAAAGGGCTATTAGGGATTTCTTTAATAATAAAATATCAATGAATTCTTATTCAGGACTGCATAAAACCTAACGATACTAATTTTACTGAATGTTTGTTTAGGGATTTCGTTAAGAATAAAGTGCCAACGAATTATTATTCAGGACTACATAAAACCTAACTATACTAATTTGCATGAAGTTCGAATTCAGGGTTCTCGAAATATCGCGGGCGCCTCGCTTAAGCATTACTCCTGTAGAATGTTTGTTTATGGCTTAATTTTGATAATTCTTTTACGTTAGATAGATTTCACTGAAATTAAATATGATTAGAGAGGATTTGATATGAACTAAACAGACTTCACAACGCCGTTAATTTTTCAATTAAAAAGGATTTTTAATTCTCATCTAATAATGAAAATAACTGAAATATCAAAATTGATTGGCGTCGGCATACTGTTTCCTTTATAAAACCAAGGTTGCCATATTTTTATTTTGTTTACATTATATCTTTCGAATACTAAGATTTATGCTGCTGTTTAAGACGATACTAAAAAGTAAATGTAAAATACTTTTTTATCATTATTTTTGAAATTTGTATAATGAAAATTTGTAAGAACTTAAAATCATATACAAGGTAATCGTTATTTACAAGGTTTACAATATTTATTTTTTTAAAACATTAAAAATTTTAATCATTGGTGTAGTTACTTTTGGGTAGTCTGTTTTCATTTTCATTTTGAAAAAATCTCTAAAATTATTTGTCGATTTTCCGCTTCAAAGAATTGTGTCAGTTAGTCATGACTTTAGTCGGTGCTATACTATCCAGCAAAACATTATCAATTGTCAAAATTGAGCCATAAACAAACATTCTACAGCTTAAGCCTACTTTATGAAAATTAGTATAATTAGGTTTTATGTAGTCCCGAATAAGAATTCGTTAAAGAAATTCGTAATAGATCTTCTCGATATTTGACATCAAGAATTAGTCCCAGTTGACCTTGACTTTAGGTTTTTGAGAGATTTATTCAACAAAAAAGTTATCAAAATCAAATCGTAATCAAAGATTTTACAACGATGTACAAAATTAAGCGGTGCGTAAACGATATTCCAAATACCACGAAAAACATTGAAACATTATAGAAATTGTTTGGTTAATTGGGTTCTAAGTACTCCTGAATAAGAATTCGTTAGCAATTTATATTTTTAAAAAACCCTAAGATTTCGTCAAATAATGAAAACGAAACTAAATTCACAATGGGTACTAAAATACATGGTACATAAAAAAGCAACTAAAAATTAATACGCAACAAAACAAAAAAAGGAGAAAAAACGCAACCTGCTTTTTATGTTTACACTTTTTAGGCAACGTATTGAAAATCTTAGTTGCTGGAAACATATTCTCTGACATTTTGTAGATCTTACCATTATACAGGGTAACTCACTACTTCACTACAACTTTCTCACAGCACCCTTTCCTATTTTAAATGGTTATTTGATTTTTGGTTTTCCGAAAAAATTTCATTTACTGAATATATGAAAATATACGGAATCTCAATAATTTCTTGGACATCTTTTAAAAAAATATTTTAAACAATGGGCCTTTTAACCAATTTATAATTCTTGGGAATCGTTTTTTAGAAAAAATGGGTGTAACATACAGGGTGCATTTGAAGTAGACAAAGTTTTTTTATCTTTCAATATCAATTTCGAAAGAACACTCTTGTGTTTCCGTTAACCATACAAACGATTATCAGGAATTAAAAATGACGTGATGCACAATCTAAACCCACATTGATTAACTAAGTTTTCTCCTATACGTATTTTCAACGTTTCCATCAATCAAACACTAAAGTTCTATCTAGTTAGGGTTCATTTTGAGCAAGCGTTTGTTCTTCCTTTTATTTACTTTAAAAGAGATCACCCGACTTGGAGCCCTAGAATTTTCTATTCCTCGGGTGTATAAAAGAAGTAGGCCTGTATCAAATAGAAATGAATTATTGAATTATGTTGACGATGCATTTACTAATTTAAATCCAGCTTCACAAGGGCATTGTGCGAATAATACCAGAATTTATTAAGTATTTTAACAAAAAATGTTTTCAATTAATAGTATATTACTTACGAGTTTATTTGACACGAGCGGAGCGCAGCCGAGCGAGTTTTTAATAAACGAGCGAGTTAAAAAGTTTACCGAACGTGTTACATACTATACTTTTTCTACGACCGTTAGGTTTTGGGTACATTTTCGCAAAACAACACGAATACATTCACTGACATCACCGTCAGAATTGACAAATGTCAAAATTCAAAGCGTGGTAAAATCCCGGAAATGTCCGAAGTGGCTCGGATTCGTGGGAAACGAAACTGACGTGGGAAAGTGACTCATAGCAAATCGATATAGTATTAAATTTTGTATTACACCATGCAATAATATACAGGCTGGCGTATTTAAAAAAACGAATTTTTTTTGGATTGTGGATATCGTGTATAATCTCTCTCTTTGTCGGAAGTTCAAAAATGAAATATAATACAGGGTGTTTTATTTGAAATAAGGAAGTTAGGTGATGTGAGGTAGATATATTATTTTTCACAATATTATTTCGAAGCATTGCATCGCATAAAGGTTTAAAAATGAACATTAAAGGCAACAGTTTTTGGTTGAATACGAACGTAAAAATAATATTTTTAAAACGTTTTTTAATTTTTTTCTTTTTCGATAAGTTCAATTCAGAATCTCGATTATTCTTAATTGAAAAAAAAATCAAAGAAAATGTTTTTTATGAGCTGATCTTCCTTATATCTTATAACCTTTTGTGTGTTTGTCGAATTCGACAAATTTTTTTCATTCGTGAATCATTAGTTGAATGAATACTCGAAAAAATCCAAATGAAACATATCACCAATCCAGTTCCTTTAATTTTATAATACTTATACTTTGACAGCATAAGTGTTATTAATGATTATCGAGGTTACCAACTGATAGTTTTCAAATTTGTTTAACGTGCAATCAAACGTCACACCTTTGGACGAAATCTACAAATAATGTTGGACTTTTTTTAGATTAATTTGTTTATCATTTAAAGATAATTTAACTAATGGTAATTTCTCAAAACTCAAATTTTTAGATGTACACCGCTTGTTTGGTCCCTTGTTTTAATCTTTATATTTGTTTTTAAAATAACAGTCAATCAATCTTTATATTTATTTTTAAAATTTCAACACAGATCACTAAAGTGGAAGGAAATCACACAAATATACGAAATATATCAGAGACGGTAAACACAGGTACATGGGATTATAACGTATGAAACATGTCTAGAATTTTTGCGAAGAATTCAAAAATTGTCCACGAATATGGAGTGAGTTTGGAAATGGGTCGTTCTACTAAAAATGGTGGATTAATACTAAGTTGTGGAAATGAAAAGGGTATAGTATACGTACAGTCGGAAATTCAAAATAAATTGGGACATGACTATGAAGTGGACAGACCAAAAATACGTAATCATCGCATTAAAGTTGTTTGAGTTATTGAGTCTGAAGTAGATAGCAATGATGAGGAAATAGTAACAAAAATTTCAAAACAGAATAATTGTAATAAAAATGGCATAAAAATCCTTAGAAGAACGAAGGTTGCTAAGGGAAGATTTAATATTATTTTTGAAGTAAACTTAGATACGTACGAAACCTTAACACACAGAACAAGAAATAATTAATATTGGCTGGAATCGTTGTCCAATTTACATTGATTATGGAATTGTTAGATGCTTTAAATGCTGTAAATATGGTCATTTGGCTAAAGAGTGTAAGGATAAAAAACTATGTCCAAAATGCAGTGGTGAACATGACATAAAAGACTGCACTAGTAATGAATTTTAGTGTCCAAATTGTGTAGCAGTCAATAACAAATATGGTTTGAAATTAAATGTTGAACATACAGCATGGGATATAAACAACTGCATGACATATAAGCGCATTGAACAAGTCCAACGTAATAAATTTGTGAAATAGCAATTAGACACTAATATCGGCTTAAGTTCTGGAGTAGTTTGTCAGGGATATCTGAACAATAAGGACAATATAATGGTTCTCATTAATGACTGGAAACCAAAAGCAGTGTTTTTGTCTGAAACTCATGTATCTGAGGATATTTATTACAGTGAGTTGTGTATTGATGGATACAAGCTGGAACAGTGCGTTACCAATAATAGAAGAACTGGAGGAGTGATGGCATTGATAAGGTATGATGTAAAGTACAAATTAAAGAATGTATCTTGTGTACAGAATTATGTATGGATGTTGTCTGTGGAGATAGTGCTATTTAGGTCAAAATATCTATGTAGTGTTCTATATCATCCTCCACAGTGGAAAATGCTAAATTTTTGGACTATTTTTCAAATTATTTGGATGAACTGAGCGATTTCACGGGAACAAACATTATCATGGGAGATTTTAATTGTGATTTGCTAAAAAATACGTTTTATGGTGGAAAGTTATTGAGTATTGTACGCAGAAATGGATACTACCAAACTGTTAAGTCACCCACTCGAATTACAGACAAAAGTGGAACATAAAATACATCTAACACCAAGAATTAGCGATCATAACATACTGTCAATAGAAATAGAAAATACAAGCAACTACGTCCTATTGGAAGTAAATTACAGATGCATGAAAAATTACAATAGTGACCTACCGCGGCAATCGCTTCTTGAAACATCCTGGAATAATAGTATTACAGATGTAAACATATTGGCTGGTACCTTTGTAGATAGTATATCTAATATAATAAACCAAATGTGTCCGAAAGTAAAATTGTATGTTCAACATAAATTTCAAAACAAAAAGTGGATAACCCCTGTGATAAAAGAAATGATGTATCAAAGAGACTGGTTGTATAAAAGAGCGGTACTTGAACAAAATGATGATACATGGCGTGCATACAAAAAAGAGAGAAATCGCATTGTAAGCTGCATTAAATTAGAAAAAGCCAGATATTTCAAAGATATTATTGATAGAAATAAAACAAACTCTAAAGAAATGTGGAAATATGTAAAAAGGCTACTTCCAAATAAAAAAGGTATACTTCCCGATGAGTTGCAGTTTGGCCAGCGAATTGTTTCACTTAAGCAAGACATAGCTAATGAATTTAATAGGTATTTTATAGACAGTGTTCAAAATATTTTGACTGGAGAAATAAATCAGTTTAATACCATAACTATGCAGGACCTAAAAAAAATAATAATAGAATTAAAAAATGTGACTGGTGATGAGTGTGGTATCTCAAAGAGTGTGTTGATTGATGCCTGTGCAGTTGTTGGAAATCGATTGTTGGACATTGTGAACACCTCCCTTACGAGTGGAATTTTTCCGGAGGCATGGAATACATCAATGGTGTCAAGAGTTTAGACCAATTAATACCGTTCCAGTTTATGAGAAGGTTCTTGAGGTTGTGGTGAAACAGCAGCTGCAAAGCTATTGTGACGTAAACAATATTTTAGTGCCTAAACAGTCGGGCTTTCGCTCCAAACATTCATGCGAATCTGTCGTCGTTAGTGTCTGCGATGATTTCTTGAGGGCCTTGGAGGATGGTAAATTTGTGTTGGCTGTATTTTTGGATTTTTAGCGTGCTTTCGAAACAATAAGTAGAACTAGACTGTTAAGAAAATTGTACAAAATGGGTATTCAGGGAACAGCGTATTTAACAGATACGGTACAAAAAACGAAATATAAAAATTGCATATCTGATTGCATAACTGTAGAACATTGTGTTCCTCGTTGGACAATTTTGGGACCATTGTTGTTTCTTATATACATAAACGATATTGTAAATATTTTAGATGATACAAAAGCGGTATTATTTGCGGATGACACTATGATTTTTATTGTGGGTGAAAATGTGGATGAAATGCAAAGAAAAATGAATGCCGATCTGAAGAAAGCTTTTGAATGACTGTGCAATAATAACCTTTGTATAAACACGGACAAGTCAAAATTTTGTATTTTTGGTAAACGACATAAATTGAGTACATTAAATTTCGACGTAAACATTTATATTAACAACAAAAAATTAATTCATGAAAACGAAACTAAATATGCGGGTGTTATATTTGACTCAAATTTGACGTTTCATACACATGCCGATTTCATAATGAATAAATTTCCTAAAAAGATTAATTTTATATCTAGAATGGGGAAAAATTTGTCAATTGACACCAAAATCTTATTGTATAACAGCCTAGTTGCTCCCCATTTAGAATTTTGTTCCACACTTTTGTTCAAGTTGCCTAATTATAAATTAGAGCAATTGCAGATTGTTCAAAATAGAGCCATGAGAAATATACTAGAGTGTAACAGATATACGCCAATTCAAAGCATGTTGAGTGTTCTTAATTTCTTGTCTGTAAAACAAAAAGTAATGTTTAATGTCTATGTATTTATTTTTAAAATTAAACAGCAGTGTGTTCCCAATTATGTTTGTGAAAAAGTTACCTATTTCAGAGACATTCATTCTTACAACACAAGGAATTGTGGTAATTTTATGTTAAGAGAATGTTATTCTAGTCATGTACAAAACTCTATATTACATAAAGGCCTAAACCATTTTAACAATTTACCGCATGATATTAAAAACTGTGATACTCTGTGTCTTTGGCTTTTGGTTTCCGTTTATCTGGAATTTTATATTTTATATTTAGAATTTGTATTTTGTATTTTTTATGTAGCATAATGCTAAATAAAGATTATAATATAATATAATATACAATTATCCTGAATATGTAACAATAATATTTTAAAAAATTAAGTGAATTCAAACCACTTTTCTGTTCTGTTGATATTTTTTTTTTTACATTTTTTTTACAATTTTCTATAAAACTTAATATTTTATTTTAAAATCTAACGGATGAAGGAAAATTTTTTAAGAGATGGCCTCAATATTTTTTTGTCATCATACCAATTTTTCCTAATTTGTTGAACGTCGACTTGTATAGATGTTTATAGAAATGATTTGTTAGAAAATGACCGGTTTTATTTCCTAGGAGACTTTTTCGCGAGTTGTGGGTGTGTTTAAAGGCTTGTTAATTTTTCAAAGAAACTTCCACAGGCTACTGTAATGCTTTTTACAAAACTTCTGGATTCTTCCTGCGTCGGTTTTTGCTGAGTCGAAATTGCTGACGTTTCGTCAATCATCCTGTTGGCTTCTTCAGAGCTTGACTGAAAACTGTTTTCAGTCAAGCTCTGAGGAATCCAGAAGTTTTGTAAAAAGCATCATCAGTTAAACTTATTAATATATTAGAATGATAAATACAAGATAAGAGTGTACACCGTATTACAATTATATTCAATTGTATTCAATTTTTGTAGAATTCTTTGGAGTTCTTCGCTTAATTCAGAATTCTTTGTAATTTTTCGTGGAATTGTTAGAAATTTCTTCATACTGTAGACAGAATTCCTTTACGGTTTACCCATCGTAAAAATGTTACTTATAATGATTTTCCACAAACTTACACACATAGAAAATGGTCAGTGATTCAGTGATATTTTTTTAAATTCACTCAATTTTACATTCTTGTTTCTTTAACGGTTTATATGTTTATTAGTTTTGTTTTAACGCATTCGAAACTTCTAACATTTTTGCAAAAAGTGCAACTCTAGGAAATACAGAAAATATGAAATATTAGACAGAGTATTATTCGTATAATAATCATTCGAATCAGTGATTAGTACTAAATATAGCACTGAATGTGGCCTTATTTTTAGTAAATTATCACACATCAATTTTTTCGAAATTTCCGAATTTGTGTTTCTGCACTTCAAAAAAGGTAACAAGAAAATAATAAGATTGAAAAAACGCATAATAAAGGGTAGTCACAGTTTCATATACCGTAATAAATCACCAGGTCGCTGCGGAAGGCCTGGAAATCGGCTTACAGGCTCATACAAACGGCCTAATTCAATACTGAAATACGATAGGATAATTTGATGTATAGTAATTTAAGTTTTAATTTGAAACCATAAGAGATAAGAGCATCATTAAATTTGGTATAGTTGCTGGTTTAAGACCTTTTAAATTTCAAGTTATCCGGACCAAGTAGCCCAAAAAACTAAACGCTGCCAATTTACCATGCGGCGTTTTGTCTTTTGGCTGCCACCATTAACTTCTTTTTATGACTCTATATCTAAAAAAGATTCGATTGGTGTTATTCCATTGATTTATACATATATTGCGGCCTTGAGGTGCCACATGATGACGCTTTTACTAATTGTTATATTGTCGCCCAACTTTTATCGAGCGGTTTCGCCAAACGCATGAAATTATGAACTGCATTTAAATTTATTATTTAGAAATGCAGGCGATAGTAAAATAAATCGACAAAACCTAACTTTGTTAAAACATGTTTAAATACTAACTCATTGAAACGCAGACACAAGTATTGTGGCATCGAGATATATACGATTCAAATAAAATCTCCTAAATTTATGAGAAACAAATAAATAATTCAGGTTTTAGTGATAAACGGAATTTATTAATTTTATTAATTTATTAATTGGAACGTGTTTGATTAGAGTTCCGTGTTTTTATATGATTGGACGAAAAGATGGGCGAGATCCGTACTCTTCTTCAGAAACTGAAATCTGGACCGAAGCTACAATTTTTGTAATTTTGTTTGGTAATTTTTCAACTTCAAACATACTATAAACCTAACTATTATAAATCTACTTTAAAGCTACTGTATTTAGAGTTCCCTTATTTTTCGAAAAATTGCCTGTGCAGAGAGTCAAAAATTTATTTTTTTTAATACTTGTGTGTGACGCAGAAATTTAAGAGTTGGAAAAAGGTGGACAAGTCAAGCAAAACCGTTCGCACGGAGTTAGTGTTTCAGTAGTTACATTTTTCTTCTTAAAATTGTCCGAAGATTCAGGTTGTATATTCATAACGATACTAAAATTTTAATTTTACTTTTTGAAACAGATATGTTCAACAGAAACGTGTGAAAGCTGTAGAAGCGGAGTCCAAATTGAAACAGGTCTACATTCCTAACTAGTGAGTTCGTATTAAATGTTGAAAGTTTTGCAACCGGAATGTTTAACATCCATTTTCTAGCAACAAGCCAAATCCAGCTGCCCTAAACAATAATAAAGGCATTTTAAATGGGAGCAGTAATGGGAATACAGACTCTGCAGTATCATTGGGGGGTAAAGCCTGTGAATCGTGTAACGGTAAGTCTTACTCGTCATTCAAATACTATTAAATATAATAAGTTTTTTTAAAATATTTTTTCTAGTCACCGTGTCGAGTCAGTGGTACGCGTGGGGTCCTTCGCACATGCAGTGTCGACTTTGTCAAGCTTGTTGGTCCTACTGGAAAAAGTACGGTGGTCTCAAAATACCAACACGTTTCGGTGACGGTACAGACTTTGAAAATGGTGGCAAAAAACGATCTAGCAGTGACGTTGAAGACGAGAAATCAGTTGCCGGGCACAGGCCGCATCGATGTAACATAGGTGGTTGTGGAAAAGGTGAAAAAGCGTAATATTCGGATTTATTGTAACTTTATTTGACCTGTTTTATGGTTTTAGAGTTCAAATTGAAAGCACATTTAGGGAGGCATTATGCTACCGCTCATGGTATCGCGGTTAGGGCAGGTTCGCCTAGGCCGGTCATGAAGACGCGTACAGCATTTTACCTCTTGACGACTCCCTTGACAAGGTTGTCAAGACGACTTTGTAGGCATATAATGCGGCCACGGCATGCAGCTCGGGCACCATTCTTCCCCATTAACATCCAAGCAGTCAAACAGGAGTGCAGCACACAAATGGTAATTAGGAAGATTAAAAATTATTGTGTTTTTATTTATAAAATGTTCTTTGCCTATGAGTTGTTAGAGTTCTATGAAAAGTGCTGGGAAGCTAAAAAAGAGTTGGTTTTCAAATTTTAGGAAATGCATGCACAGTTCCCGAAAGCACTATTTTCAACTACCTATATACTAATTTATAAATAATTCTACAACTTTTTTTAGAAAATAATAGGCAGTTAGCCAGATACCTTTTTTTCAAGTTTGAATGTTTCATGGTGCTCGTTTTACTATTGTGACAACCGTATCTATTTATCTTTATTAAGCGAGATACCGAGTAACAGTGTAGAAAAAGCGATTGGCCGTATATCCTGTGATAAATATTCTACACTGCCATAAGTTGTATATCTCTTTTTTTATTTCAGGCTGGTAAATCATTGCAAGAACTGAGGCAGCTGTTAATTTATCGAAAAAAAAATCGAGGAAGTGTGACTGCTATAGCTACCAGACTGGGGCGGCCAGGTTCGGCCACACCCCAGTGGTTGATTCTGACAGATAAGGTATTTTTTTCTTTTGCACTAATAACAGCCTTAATTGTCTTTTCTGTAAATTTGCGATTATGTTTTCGTAAACATGAATTTTTTGATGTGTAGGCATTGTTACCACAACCTGATGTAGTCGCTTTTCCTAAACCTCCAAAAGCCCCTGACGGAAGTTTACTGTATGAAAGGGTACCAAACAAACCAGAAGCAGAAAAGATTCCTCTTAATAATATATCTCCCTCACTGAAAAGGAAGGCCTATGAAGAAATGAATGGTATTGATAGTAAGTATTAACTTGGATTGAAAAATATTGGATCTTGTTCAAAATTTGAATGAAGAAAAGAAAAATGTTAATTTGTGTTTAAAAGGATGCAATTAAATAATATATAACATTGTAGAAGATTTTGCTGTTGAGAATATACAAATGGTATGTATAAATTGTAACAAATGTTTATTTTTGTTGGCTTCTATTCTGACTTGGATTGGGATGATGGTAAGTTCACATGTTTTTTTTTTGCTGTAAAACATCACTGTGCATGGCAGCTCATTTATTGGCCCTTTTGTGAGTTATAATCTTAATAAGATACTTGATAAATTCATCAGAAAAGATGTTTAAAATGTAATAAGTGATGATATTTTTAACAAAATTATTTAAGATTGCTCAAAAAAAACTAAGTTTTGTGACATATTTTGAGGAAGTGGTGAACAGGTCTATGCGAGTTCTTCTCTACATCTCTTTGGTACCGCCTTAGACTGGAGTATGCATCTGTGATTTGGTCTCCATATTATGCCTGCCATATAGATAACTTTGAAGCCATTCAGAAAGTATGTTTAAGATCTATAATGGGTATCAAATCAAATACAGGCCTTCAATATTGATACTCTTGAAACCAGAAGATTCCAGAGTGATCGGTTTTTTCTCTTTAAGATTTTGAGTGACTGGTGTTATTGTCCAACTCTTTTGCATATTACATAAGCTGTGATGTTCCGCATACGTTACCAATATGCAAGTTATGGAGTTTATTCACCCGTTACTAGAATGTTGAAAGCGTGCAACTGTCCTTGATCTTTTTGTCGGAAGCCTCCGCTCAATTTGTTCTGATGCATTCCATTTGAGTGTTTCCACTTAATTCTTGTTTGTTGTTCTTGTTTTATTCTAGGTGTTATATTGCTACCTTTCTCTATATTTTCCTTTAATAAATGTGAAAGTTTTGTAAATTTAGTAAACCACAAATAAATAAATAAATAGTAATAAAAGACAATATAATTGAAGAAAAATGGCACCATTTGTCAATGTCACCATTTTGTAGAGCCTTATTGAAAGACAATTGTGCTCCGAATATTACCTAATATACCGGTTAAAAATCGTTAACATATTCAAGGGCGCGAATTTTTTCAATATCTATTTTACTCATCATGATGTTTTAAAAACAAAACACATACAATGTCTGCTATGACTACAATAAACTTGTAGGCCATGCCAAGATAGACAACGTATGCACAACCTAATTTTATTACTGGACAAGAACAGGCATTAACACACGTTTTGTCGTGTATGGTCCTTATCTAGTTGTGTGCGAACCCACTCCATTTAATTTTATAAAGTATCCATCCAAATATCGCTTGAAGACTTTGGTAATTTCTCGCTTATTACATTACATTATATCATTAACAATATAACAAATGAACAATGATAGTTTAAGGTAAGACACCAGGCAGCAACCATTATATCAAGAATTTTTGCCACTTGTCATATTGATCATTGACTATCATCTTGCATAAAATAGTAGTTGAATTGTAAAGATAATTTCCAATCTTCTTTGATGACAATGATCTTGGAGTTATTGCTTTCCAATTTGTCACTACAATATTGTGTCAGTATAACTAGTCTAAGGGAGAAGCAAAATAAGAAAAATTTGGAAGGAAAAAAAAATGTGTTAGTTTATTTTAATGACTCTTACACCTTCAAATATTTGTATTACAGGTGCACTAATAAACCCGCCCTCCACAAAGAGGATGACTAAAGAACCCGTGCAGATCGCACGTCATCCAGTGCCTGCTGTGATGGGACCTATGGGCTCAGTGCCTCTTACAACTGCTACTTCTGCTGACCAGTACCAGGCCATGATGGCCGCTGCGCAGGCGCAGCTGCCTCCAGGCTTGGTGTCCCACGGAATGGTTCTTCCACGGCACGTCTCCCACATCAATGGTAAACCAAAAATAGCACAAATGACCCGCACAGGATCAGGCAGAAAGCAAGTTATCAGTTGGATGGATGCTCCTGACGATCTCTATTTTAGGGCAACAGAAAATAGCAAGTACGTTTTTTTTTTTTAAATAGTTTCTTGTTATCAGTTTAACTAAAATGACTAAATAGAGAGAATTTCCATTCAACACAAAAAATTGTTTCTTAGAACCATATCAAATTATTTTCCTTACATAGGCTTAAAAATGTTCTTATTAATGCATATTGTAGTACTCATTTCTCGAATATAAACGTTATTATTGTTATTAAAGAACTTAGGGAAATAGATATCTAATTGTTGGATATTTTATTTTCAGAAAAATGAGGCGACATGTGTCTTTAACAGACCTACGTAGAGCGGCGAGAAAACCCTGGAGGCCGCTTAAAACAAAACTAGTTGAACTGCAGGTGGTAGTCCTCGATTGACAGTAATTGAGTTTGTAAATAAATATTTTAGAATGAAGAGTGCTCAGTGTGCTACTGCACAATAACGATTAAAAAAAATAGGATTTTGGACTTGATTTACCCTTTTCTTATAGCTCTCCATTAGAAACATTTTATTTCTTTTAATGGTTTAAGGTGGTTTATTTATTTTTGAATACAACTGGACGATATACTTTGTGGTCAATTAAAACTAAATAAAACTGTATGCATCGTTTCAAATATTTTTGGAGAGACGTTTTTGGAGCAGTTTTGGAAAAGGACCTCTTTGAAACTTTAGTTGCTCAAGAACTACTTGGTTCACATTGGACACAGTTTATTTGTATTTAAGTAAAATATTTGGTTCCTAATATGTAGACTATTTTTTCATTGTTTTCAATTCAACTTCACTGAACAGACAAATAAGAAAATAAATATATTACATAGTGATCCTTAAATATAATTTATAAATACATTTTGGGACTGCAATAGAGTTATAACTAGGCAACTCCAGTTATAAAAATTTGTGTCGTATGATTATAGCGATAATCTGCCAATAAATTTTGCAAAGAGATGAGAAAAGTGGAGGGTCTCGATCGCTTGGGCCTTTTTGAGATAGATGAGGCATGGGCTGTGTAGTATTGTTCTTATGTCGATTGAAACAAGTAAAGACTGCATTAGTACATACAAACCACTGTGAATAAGAGCTTTTTTCTATAGCCCTATTCTGGCTTTTCTAATTTGTTGATGTTGTGTTAAAAATATTTCTTTTGTACTTTACAGTTACAGCAGCCAAAAGTCTTCAGTAACATTGAACTTATTTGAAGGACATTCAGTGAACAAATAAAATAAAATCAGTCACTGTACCCTGGTTTAATCAATCAAGATTCCATAATTCCCTTGTTTTAAATTACAAAATATCTTTTGTATATAATACTACAATTGGTATTTTAGTGTTATTAATTAAACAATAAGAAAACTAAATAAATTTGTACCTTTTCAATATAAACATTCCATATTTGGATACTTTTGTGGAGAGGTAATAATAATTGACATCCTGTTCATATGTCTGACGGCTAAGGAGAAAGGAATTTGTATTAACAAATTCTGAAAAATTCTCTGCCTAACAAATACTAGTCGCAACGTAATGTGGGGAGTTTCGACCCTATTTTAATTTCATCAATTGAAAAATGATATTGTTTTGTAATCTACGAGTTATAGCAAAAAATACATAACTCATTTTTCAATAAATATTGTTAAAGAGTAAGATTTTTCAATACGAACATGATGCACACTAAAAATGAAATTTTAAACTAAAAGCCAACAAATTTGTTTTCTAAATTATAAGTCAATTTTCAAAGTTGTGGAAATTAACAATTAGTTGAGATACTTGCATAATTTTATTTTTAATATTTTAAATTTGGTAATGGGTACAAATTTCTGCTATGATTATCGAACAGTTTGAAGCGGGCCTTCGTAGCAAAACATCTTGATATTCAACTATGAGAAAATTTTCGCATATTATTTGTTTGAAACATCTTTTCGAACTTAGTTATTTAAATTTAATAAAATTTAACAAATGTGCATCCGGTTTTAAGTTTTCCTCCAAGCTTGTTACAATTCTCAGCCAAAAATTCTGTTAGCAAATAACACAAATGAGAAAAAAAGTAATTCGGTGCTAAAGTTGTAAATCTAGATCCAAATCCGATCACCTGTAGCAATATTATTAACATATTGTAAACATGATTACACTTTGCGCGTGAAAGAATGGAGTGAAAGAGTAAATATTTGTGATTTAATTAATAAGTACACACAATTTTTGTCGTTAAATTATGCAAGTCTATTCATAATTTTTTTATTTATTAAGAACATTGTTGTACAATAAACTATACATACGTAACTGATATATGCACTTTTTTTTTTCTTTAATTGACCGACAATTTTTCCCTAATTACGCTAGGACTAGGATCAGCTACAAGTGAGTAAGAGTTCTGATTTATCTTGTCTGTTTTGTAGGTGGTAGCCAATTAATTGCGTTAAACCATTTGCATCAAATTAGGACTTGTTCTAATTTCAGTGACTTGGTAACTTATCTTTTTATTGAGAAAGCTTAGGTTGGACGGATTTGAAATAGAAATTAAAAATTAATATTTAAGAATTATGTGAAGTCAAGTTTTATGTGGACATGATAATTCAGATAATCAGTGCAGTCAGGTTAGGTTATTTTTCTATTAGTGATATTTTGTAACTTGCTAAGTTATTTTTTAATATTTTATTTGTTTTTATTTGCCTACAATCTAAATCACAAATCTATGTTTTTCGGTAACCGTCAGTCACATTTTCGTCGTAACATTTTTTTTATAATTTGAAGACCAATATTCAAATCCAAACCATTCCACTTTTTAGATGAAATGCAAACAACCGGATTTAGAGGCCGTTTTAGGTTTTTATCGATTCAGCAAAATTCATACAAATTTGCATGTAAGTATCAGACATCAGGCGTATCCAAAACTTTATGACGCCATGTTTGGTTTTGCATGAACGTTCCTGGTTTATGGGTGATATCCTGTGGGTTCTTTTGCAAAATATACTGGAACCTAAAGGGTATTTTTAAACAAATACCAAAAAGGGCCGAATAGTTGTTTAAAATAAGGAGTAGTTTATTATATATATGTTGGATAAAAAAACAATCATTAAACAGATATCACGCTACAAGTATAGCGGAAAACGGTTTTTATTTTTTATATTAGAAACGAAAATAGATGAAACAATAAAATACTACCGAGATGTTGCAAAAAAAATATTCGGAAAAAAAAATTAAGTGCGTGTTGTCAAACAATTTTATCCTGTACCAAAATTTATCAATTATTTTCTAAACAATTACAATTTAAAAATAGTCTATTAATAAACATTTGCAGGCGATAGAATTTCAATATTAAATTCCTTGCGTAAATCGGGTAGATAAGCAGCGCATTGCTGTGGCCCCTTACCTACCTCCAATCCAGTTTGGTCGAATGGCCTTTAGATTTTGTCCCGCAAAAGCGGTTTACTCTATTTAAAAAAGGAGGAGCGTATCGGTTCTCTCTCTCTTTTAAACTGGTCGTATTTTGTATTGAAAAATAATAAGAAACGCTTTAAAAAGTGACAGCAGCCCATTTTTTTTGCATTGCTTTAAATCCTATATATTTTTGGAAGTGGTAAATTGCAGGGGACAAAATAGTTTCTAAATAAAACAAAATTAAAAAAAATATGTCAATGCATACATTCGCCCTTAAATTTAGAAAAAAAAGAACGATAACAGTAGTCTAAATTAATCTCCTCCACTACGGTTGCTTTTAGCCAACGTTTATACAACATACCACCCTTTATTTTAAACAACGAATCACCCCCTCAAGTTCTTCGCATTTGTTTTGAAACACCCTGTATATCGTCTTTATTATTCGAATGGTGTAAAGCCCCATGACACAATTGTTGACGTTAGTTCTCGTCTGCTTATCAAAAAAAAAATCCCCGTTCAACATAACCATATAAAACGACTGGAAGATTCGCAACATTATATATAAATATCACATTCAAAAGGGTATTGTACTATTGAGACTAGGTATTGTACAAAATGAAATTTTGTGTGCCTGTACTGTTTTTGCTGTTTTTTTTGTCGGTTTCATCCAACTGTAATCCTGCGAATCCCCAAGGTAAAAAACAAATATATATTTGGTTGGCAATTTTTTTTCGGAAATTATTTGTCACTCTATGACTAAAAGTAGCTTATTAATAACATTTGTTCGAATTTTACTCGATTAAACATTATTATTATTATTATTAAACACGCTTCACACTTTAAAAAAAGTTGTTTTCTGTTTTACGCACACTTCTAAATTCTAATTAATTTTTTTTATGTTTTTGACTAATAAACCGATCGGTTGTAATAGTCGACGAAATTTAGTGGACTACAGCGGTCAAATCGTTAAGCAAGTTTCATTTTTTTACCATTTTAGCCTTAGATTTTTATTTTCTTCCGACGAAGATATTATATTATTTTGCCCCATATTAAGCTTTGGCCTTGTAAGAAAGATGGACGAGAGACACAAAGCGAAAATAGAGCCTGAAATTAACCAAAACAAGATTTACAAAAATGTTGATGGTTATTGTTTCTGCCTAATTGACCAAATCGTTTGGTAATTGCGGCATAGCAAAAAATTTAAAAGCAGTTTTAAATTATTCACGCTATATAAAGATTATTCAAAGTATCCTATCTTTTAACACCCGAAGTGTCATTCATGCCGGTTAAAGATTTATGGAATAATTTTTGGATATTTAGACGTTAGACGTAAGCTTGCCCTTATCCTCCCTACTTAAGGCTTCGCTTCCGCTTCGTAACTAAACCTCCCGACCCCCGCGCTCTTAAACAAACCACCCCTTTTCGACAAATGAAAAATCATTAATTCAAATTTTCCATCTGTTTCTTAATTAAATTAAAAAATAATTATAGTAATATAGGTATTTCTGTGAAAGTTTTGCTTATTTTTTGTATAGAGTATATTTTTGGTTTTTCTGTTTTTGTTTTTGTTTTATACTTATTCGTTTGGCATGGATAAGATTTATTATAAAGCGACAAAAATCGATCTTAATATTAGTTTTATCTTTTTTTATCGTATTATGAAATTGTCATGCTTTTTTTAGAACAAATGCGGAATAATTAGGGTTTCGTACATCCACCCAATGGCGCTATTTACATTCCCCTCAAAAGCACGAACCTTGCTTCCCGCTTTTGAAATTTACAAATATAGCTATTATAGTGCACTCACTAACCTGCATTTTGCGCCATTATCTTTGTAAACAACGATTTAAACACTTTATTTAACGAGATCTAGGTATATTTTGAGAAAATATTAAACTTATTGATGATCTGTCAACGGCCATGTTGGTTGTTGAATACTTGTATTTGTTTCATAAATTCCTGTATTATCGGCATACGCAAGGCCATGTGCTTTATGCTAACGATTTCTAACCAAGGGAGTGCGATTGAAAAGACCTCAGTCTCTGACTAATATTGTTTTGAATTCAACATATACTCGAAATCAGGAAAGATGGCGACTACGTCTAAATTATGACATCAGCAAATGCCGTAAGAATATACTTGGTGTCATGGCTAACGTAATCGTAATCTTTCCCGAATTCTAGTTATATGATGGTGAAACAGTGTACCAGAATCGTTAGATTTGATAGCACAAAATTTGACAAACTTTTGTTTCCTGTTTTAGAAAAGCCAGGATACGACGCGACTAATCCACCTTGTCGTGTTGTCTGCAGGTCTAAACGAGTTATGAGTTTTCCAAATGAGAAAAATTGTCATTGTGGTCAACATTTACAATAAATATCAGGAAAAATGGAGCACTACGTCATAATGACGACACCAGCAAATTCCATGATACGCTTCATAATGGAACCATCATCTTTCCCGAATACTATTATATTTAGTTTATCAATTTTTGAATAAAATTTTTTAAATACAATTAAAAATCCACAATATATTTATACACATCCCTAATACGAAAATACTTTCATTACGCGTCGTGATTCTGATTTTTTATTTGGTTGATTTGGAAAACAGACTTGGACAGGGCGACGTCAGGTTTAAATTTCTTTTGAACATTCATTTAATGAACTGAAAATAGGAGATAATATGAACGTAATTTGATTTCGATTTCAAACGTTTATTGATATCATAAATAATAAATTAACGCTCCATTTGGTAAATTAAGGATAATTACACATTGATAAGAACCACTGAAGTGGAAATGCTTCCCAAAGAACGCCATCTGGTGGCGAGGTAAGCAATACAATTAAAAAAAAAACAATGTTGGTATTGTGAATCAAAACAGTCGATTTTGAGATTTAGGGTTGCAATTTCTACGTCACACGGTATATTATCATTTCTATTATATAGGAAAAAGAAAAAAAAACCTTAAAGATGAAGACTGGGAAGTGACCAATTGGAACTCTTTAACGTTAAATTTTCTGTAGGTTGTCTAGGCAGAAGTTTGACTATAAAAGTTGAAAATCTGACGTTTTTCACACAAATAGGTACTTTTCCAGGATCTCGCTAGATCACACAAAAATGCATTTGAAAATTTTATTTATTTTGAAAATTTATTTATATATAGCACATTTTTTAGTCCAATGGATAAATTGAAGTGCAAATAATTGCTGAGGTCGAGTCACTATCTCAAGAATTAAATAATAATTATTGAATCAATTTTAAATTGTGCTGCGTGTTGGTGGAAAAAATTAATTTTTAATAACGAACAAATAAAGAACTAGCAGATGCCCACTTGGTATATGGATTTTTGCAATGGAGAAATGATGGAGTCGTCTAGTACCTTATCGGCAAGTATTTAATTATACACATCTTCTTCGGAAAGAAAGTAACTAACTTTTAATTTGAATGAAGATGACCCTACAAGGAGTCTTCCAATTCTCAACAAATATTGCGAGTCAGCTAGGTGTGTTCAAAGAGTAAGGTGACTATGAAGTTTTATCAAAAAGAATTTATTAATTTTTGTTGTCCCCTTCAAAGTACCCCCACCCCCCTTGTGCCAACGTTTTTTCCACAATTCGAAGCACTTCTGGTAAGCACTTTCTGTTATAGCCGTGAGTTCTTCCAGCGATTTTTTCTTTATATACTCAATTATTCCAAACCTTCTTCCTTTCATAGGTTTCTTGAGTTTTGGGAACAGGAAAAAGTCGCAGGGGCTATATCCGGTGAATAAGGTGGCTGAGGCATGATTGTCGTTTTATTTTTGGCTAAAAAGTTAGACACAACCAACGATGAGTGAGCAGGTGCATTATCATAATGCAAAATCAACGAATTGTTTTTCCACAATTCCGGACGTTTTCTTGGCATTGCTTTTCGCAAACGGCGCATAACTTGAAGGTAATACTGTTTATTGACCATACGACCTTGTGGTAAGCTCTGGTAAACTCGTGATGTACTACGCCACGATAATCAAAGAAAACAGTAAGCAAAACCTTGACATTTGATCGAATTTGACGTGCTTTTTTCGGTCTTGGCGATTCTGGGTTCTTCCATTGGGACTACCAGGCTTACCCATGGTTCGTCACCAGTTTTGATCTTTTTCAGCATATCAGGATCATTATTGATGTCGTTTAACAGCTCTTGAGCGATGTTCTTTCGACGGTCCTTTTGTTCAAAATTAAGCAGTTTTGGAATAAATTTTGCTGCTACACGTTTCAAGCTCAAAATTTCGGAAAAAATTGCCTGACACGAGCCAATAGAGATGCCAAGCTCTTCAGTCACTTCTCTAATAGTGATTCGACTATTTTTCAACACCATTTGTTTCACTTCTTCATCGCTGTATTAACATGCTGGGGCGTCCAGAGCGAGGTTCGTCATCGGTGTCTTCTCTGTCATTTTGGAATAGCTTGTGGCACTTATAAACATTTTCTTTTGCTCGCCATATGCCGTTGTCCACATGTCAAGTGATTTGCAGTACTGTATTGCAGTTTTTATGCAAATTCTTTGTACCATTTTTTTTGACAGCAGAAAATCGCCGAGCACACAAAACACGTTTAACTCTACAAAAAAAAGTAAACGTGCAAACTGGCCGAAACCGTGAATATATGTTCTCGAAGATCGAATGTAAAAGTCACCTTACTTTTTGAAAACACCTCGTACATTAATGACATTATCTCTTAGTAGTCTCAAAAACCCTTGTGGCGCGAAGAATGGACTAAATGAACAAGGAATGTTGAAATGTTCGAAATAGATTTTCTGTTTGGTGGGTATTTAAAGTATAGTAAGTAAGTAAAGTCACTCTTTTATTAAGCACTTGCTCCGCTCGCAAAGTAACCACTATACGCTGGTTACTTTGGTTTCCAGCGAGATACAAGAACAGTATCTTATTTGTATGGAAAACTTCAGAAAATTTATACTCCAAGTTATTAAAAATGATCATCTACAAAACTCGGGAAAACTGTTTCCGACATATGCCAAATTAAATATCCTAACAAGTCTCAAAAATGTCTACAAAATACCTTCTTAAGGGTTTCACCTTGTATCTTAAAAATGAACAGGGGGGATCTTAGTTTATTTCAATAGCAGGACAGAGAATAAGTGGTAAAAATATTGACGTCTAATTTCTCTATTATTTTTTATTTATTATTTTCTGTATTACCCCTTACCCCACCCGCCATTATTAGATTTGTTAATTAGATCATCAATTGTTTAGATGCGCATTATCCGCAATCTCTCTGTATTTATGCTTATGCAGCGTGGGAAATGGTTCTTATTTTTGGCTGCCTGAGTCTTCGAAAAAAATTTAAATTGTGCGAGCTCATTCACTTGCTTCGGAGCAAACGCGTGTAGTTGGCATGGCATATTAAAAAAACAAACTGGCTACCGAGCTTGTGTTTGAGTGTCTACTTGAAAATTGTTTTTAATCTAGTTTGGACGAACAATTTGCGCTCGAATCGATAAGCAAATAGACGCTACTGGTTAAAGATGCGATTTTTGGCCAACGCTCAATATTTGATCATAACCGTTCGCAATTAGTACAACCTTTCTTAATTTTTTCTCAACAAACATGCACCGTTTCGTATAATTTCGTGTAATTTAATCCTCACGTAGCCTGTAAATGAGTTTTTAATAAACACCCTCTTCCGAAAAACTTTTTTTCTCCGATTTCGACAAACAACTTTGTAATAATTGTAAATTAGTTGAGGACTGGTGCGCATGTTTCTGCCTTAACGCGATCAGCGCGTCGCGCCTTCATTTTGAAATTTTCAGCGACCGTTTAAGCTGTGCGAGCGCCTGGAAGTTACATTATACGAATTTGCAATCGTGATTTTTTGAAAACATTTGTGGTGAATTCAGGTGACAAACAGTGCATTCGATAGTTACAATTATTGGTAAGCTTCAAAAAACAATGCGTTAAACGTTGCAGTTGAAAAGCGGAATCGGCACAGTTGAATCCAAAAATAAAATGCTGACGAAGAATATTTCGACTTTTTAAACGCTTTTTATTAATTAATTATTAATTTCCTACGATTCGTTTCTGTTTTTTCTTCTTTAGCTGCATTGTAATTTTGCCAATAATTATGTTATTAACAATTTAATGATAAAAAAACTGCCGCGAAGCAATAAAGAAGGGGGTAATAAAGTTAAGCAATTTTTGTTCATAACAAACTTCTTTTACACATGTCAAAATTTTAAAATAATTCAAATGTAAAACGCAATGCCTTTCTCGATAATAAATAACTTTGAAACGAATCGAGACATCAAAGAGAATAACGTCAAAGATTATTATACACACATGTATGTATAATGATAACGTGTAGGAATGAACAAGCTCGCATACCGGTTAATTTTGGGTGACATTCAAAAGCTAGTTCACAACTTTTTGAAACCTAGGTGATAGAGACATCCTCTTTCTATTCTTTTATAATGGATATTAATCCAGCTCTTTCCTTAAATAAAAAAAATTTAAAAGGTTAAAACCGTATATAACCGATATGTCAAGACTATATATTTTTGCTTCGATTATGCATATAAAAAATAATATATCAGATTACCCTCAGCCCAGAAACGGTCAATATGATTTTAGGGTGAATTTAAATTTGATGTTGCCTAGGCACTGGCTGGTTAAAGTAGTAAATAGCCAGATTGTTCTAAAAGTTAAACTCTATAGTAAACTTCCCACTGAGGTTAAAAAAATATAAAAAGTAGTGCCTTTTAGCAAAAAATTCTATAGATGAATATCTAAATTGCCTCCGAACTTATGCCTGAATTATCTATTTAATTTTAAAACATTTTATATGACATTATCCTATACTGTGCCAATGGAAATAAAAACTTGTCTTGTCTTGTCTTCTAGGGTGTATCCGCCCTTCAAAATCTAATCTAAGTGGATGATCAAACCGTATTTACTTTTGTACCTCTTGTTTATGGTTGGTCGAACGGCAGCAGTTTAACATAGCATGTAATAAGAAATACAAAACTTAATTCAGTTTAAAACAAGGATAATTTACTCAAGCAAAGAAGGCAACGACTCATAAACAAATTGCTTGTCGTCAGGTTTACTTTAAATTTCCTTAAACTCAACAACCACAGCCATTAAACTTGCTCCAATTTTCCCTTATAAACTAATTTGTCCGTATTAAATTCTAACGAGGGTAAGAATTTTAGCATCGTATCCAGAAATTGGCATTAATTTATTAATCGGGGACTTGCTTATTTCGCGTTGAATTAGTTAGAAAGCTGACAAGTATAATCATTTACTGAGAAACTAAAGGAGAAAACTAGAACTTATTTTAATGAAATCTACCTTAACCTTGTAAAGCAAACAAGTTAAGCTTAGCTTAATATTTTGATTTTACTTTAAAAGAATATATAAAATGTTAAAATGACGCCTTAACTTGAAACACGTGAACACGTGAAGTCAACTTGTTTTTGTTTCTTAAAGTGGTTCAATTTTCTGGAGTTTGATTTATTGTGCGGCAATGTTACAACTTAAGCATTCGCAGAAAATTCTATTCTATGTTATAACTATATACGTCATTAGACCTAGAGTCGTACTCGAATGATTTCCGCGTCATCTTTGCTTAATTTTCTTTCCGAATTCCTAAATTTACTGCTTTCCTGCGAGAGGTTATGGATTGGTATAATTCACCTTCCAGTCAATGTTTAAAGTTCCTATTTAATTTATCTTTATATATATATATATATATATATATATATATATATATATATATATATATATATATATATATATATATATATATATATATATATATATATATATATATATATATATATATATATATATATATAAACCTCGCGTATCGGTATTATTATTATTATTATTATTTTAAACTCTTATATATATTTTAACTGTTTCGTTAAATTTGTGTGTATTATGTGTGTGAGTGCCGTATACAAATCATTTTTTGTTGGACTTTTATCTTTTATCAAGGGTATGACTTTTTTATTCTCATAGTTGGAAAAAACCAAAACAATAATATTTCTAGGCACTATGACAAAACCAAATGCTTTTAAAGTATAAACTTCCATATGATGCTACCTCTTCAATTTTAAGATTTGTGTTTGTCTCTTTCTGGTAAGGTTCTTTGTAATTCCGTTGTGTATATGTAAAAAAAAAGAACTGTACTATAACGTAATTTTAGACTGTACCCCTTTCTGAAGAAGGTCATAGAAGACCGAAACGTCAATATATGGACAAACAAAATTTTAACCGCTTTTAATACAAAGACCTATAACCCAAGAACCAAAAGCTAAACATAAATATAGAGAAGGTCTAAGAAAAAACAAAATATAAACTATATATATATATATATATATATATATATATATATATATATATATATATATATATATATATATATATAGTGTTCGAAGTGTTTTCGGAGCGCGAGCATTGAAGATGCCAAGTGAGATTTTGGCGAAACGTCTGCAGGATTCCAGTCGGATGCAGGATTCCAGTCGGAGTTCAACGAGCGAACGGATGATATCCCGGAGTATAGTGTCATCATATATATATATATATATATATATATATATATATATATATATATATATATATATATATATATATATATATATATATATATATATATATATATATATATATATATATATGATGACACTGGGGCCAGTGTTCGAAGTGTTTTCGGAGCGCGAGCATTGAAGATGCCAAGTGAGATTTTGGCGAAACGTCTGCAGGATTCCAGTCGGAGTTCAACGAGCGAACGGATGATATCCCGGAATATAGTGTCATCATATATATATATATATATATATATATATATATATATATATATATATATATATATATATATATATATATATATATATATATATATATATATATATATATATATATATATATATATATATATATATATATATATATATATATATATATATATATATATATTGCATCAAGTAGCACTAAACAGCTATAAACCGATTCCATCACGGGTTTGTTTTTTATATTTTTTTTATTTACCTTCTTTATGCAGGTTTCTTGGTGCATAGAAATCAATGATTATTTTTCCCATTCATGGATTTTAGTCTATTAGTCTAGGCGGCTTTGGTTTCGGGAAGAAGTTATCCAAATTATTCGCGTTCGTATAAACATTAAACATGCCTTGTCAGTGTGAAAAAAAAAACCGAATTGTACTTTTAATCTCTTTGCCTTGTACCCTTTTATTTGTGGGAGCCTTTTCCGTTTTTTTTAAGTTTAATTTTATATGTCTATTGCATTCTGGCAATTGGTCGTTGCTGGGAGCAGACGTATTCGTACATTGTGATTCCATAGTCAATAACTGGCGGGTTATTAAGCCTTTTGTGAAGTGGCTCTATTTCGCCACCGAGTTTTGCGTAAGTTGGGCATGGTAATTTTCATTTTATTATTTTATTCCCTGAACCGGGTAAACCTCCAGAAAGGCCACAAAGAGGCACATGATTCGGTAAACGAGAACGACCAGGGAAATACACTTTTGGACGAACCAATACATACAAAAATTTGTTGCGTACCTTTTGTTGTATACTGTATACTTTACAAAATACCATAATTTTCGTCCAAAAGAGTTCGTACACAGAATAATACCAGAATCCTTAATGTAAATTATTCAATTTATCGTTTAACTACAACTGAAAGAATAACAAGAAATGTTGTAAAACAATAGCAAAACTAAAAATCTTGAAAGAAACTTTAAAGAAATTGTTACTCTGTAGAAGATATTTTTCTGTAGTCTTTAAAAAACACTGCTTTTTTAATACTTTAATGTATTAGTTGCAATTTGTATTAGAATCCGGTGTATTTTCCTTTTTTAACGTCGATTTCCTTTGCGTTTGGTATATTGTTTACCCACCGACCTAGCGTGCGGGAAGCGTCACTTTACCACGTCAGTTTCGTTTCCCACGAATCCGAGTGACTTCGGACATTTCCGGGAATTTACCGCACGGATTTGGGAGTAATCGGATGTTTTCGGAGATATTTCTCACGCTTTGAATTTTGAAAATATAGTATGCAACAAGTGCAGTAAACGGCATTTGACTTACGAGTTTATTTGAAGCGCAGCGGAGCGAGTTTTTAATAAACGAGTGAGTTAAAAAGTTTACCGAACGTGTTGCATAGTATACTAGTATACTTTTTCTACGACCGTTAGTTTTTGGGTACATTGTCGCAAAACAACACGAATGCATTCACTGACATGACCGTCAGAATTGACAAACGTCAAAATTCAAAGCGTGGGAAATATCTCCGAAAACATCCGATTGCTTCCAAATCCGTGCGGTAAAATCCCCGAAATGTTCGAAGTGGCTCGGATTCATGGGAAACGAAACTGACGTGGTAAAGTGACGCTTCCCGCATTCTAGATCGGTGGGTAATTAGGTATTTTACAGAGGAGAGTAGAAAAAGTGTATTAAGCACCACGTTCGGTAAACTTTTTAACTCACTCGTTTATTAAAAACTCGCTCCGCTCGTGTCAAGTAAACTTGTTAGTCAAATGCCGTTTACCGCACTTGTTGCATAATATAGTATTAATTATCATTAAACTGTGGGTAACGAAGCTGACGTCCTAACATGATGCTTTCCTCGCGCTTGATAATTGCATAATTGAGTATTTTAGAGGAGAGAGTAGAAAAAATATTTTTTGATATGAAAAACTTTTTTTATTTTCTATTCTAAAATTCCCAGTTATGCACTGATCAGGCATACGCAAAGCATCGTTAACAACGGTCGGACGTTTGCGGTGCTTTAGTCACGGGTTTGGAAGCGATCGGATGTTTTCAGTAGATTTTAGCAATGTTGCTCTTACCGTTGCCAATTTTGATGGTCTTGTTACAAGTCACTTAGTGAATAAATTCGTTCTGTTTTTCAGTT